TGATAATGCATTCAAAGTGATATGTGAGAGAAAGAGAAGAGTCAAGGATAACTCCAAGTGTACAGAAAACTGATGAAATATTTCCTGACTCTCCACACAGAACCAACCAGTCTCACCTCTGTATTTCTATTCATCACATTGTGTTGAAATGACTTGTTTATATATCTGTTTCCTTATTAGACTCTGAGCTCAAGGGCACAGCCTGAGTCTTGTTGATGAATGATGAAGTTTTTATTATCCCTGGAGGTGGGGGAGAAAGTAAGGATTAGAGGGTAATATTCATTGTAGGGAAGTCAGGAAGGCAGTCAAGTGGAGAACACCAGCTGGGGAGCCTGGCAAGTCTGGGTTTGAATCATGGCTCCATCACTTGAAGTTTTGGGACTTTGGGCAAGTTACATTTACCCGCTTCAGTCGTAGAGTCTGTAAAATCTGAATAATTGTAATAATTATATATACCTCATATAGTTGTTATAGGGGTGGGGGGGGGGGGAAGAAACCCTGTACTCATTAACAGTCACTTCCCATTTTCTCCTGCCCAGCCCCTGGTAAACAAAAATCTGCTTATTGTCTCTACAAATTTGTCTAGTCTGAGTATTTCATATAGATGGAATAATACAATATGTGGCCTTTTGTGATGGACTTATTTCATTAAGCATAATGTTTTTAAGGCTTATCCATGTTGTAGCATATATTAGTACTTCATTTCTTTTTTAAACTTTAAAAAAATATTTTTTTCTTTATGGATTTTAGAGAGAAAGAAAGGGAGAGGGAGAGAGACATAGAAATATTGATGAGAGAGAACACTGATTGGCTGCCTCCTGCATGTTCCCCACTGGGGATTTGGCCAACAACCTGCGCATGTGCCCTGACTGAGAATTGAACTGTAGACTTTTTTATTTTTTTAATTTTTTAATTTATTTTTATTTTTATTTTTTTATCCTCACCCGAGGACATTTTTGCATTTTTTTTTGTACAGACAGAGCGGGAGGGAGAGAGAGGAAGAGAGAGAGAGAGAGAAACATCGATGTGAAGGGACACATCGAGTGGCTGCCACCGCACGACCAACCAGGGCCGGGGACAAACTGCAACCGAAGTATGTGCCCTTAGCGGGAACCGAACCTGGGTCTCTCCGGACCGCAGGCCGACGCTCTAACCGCTGAGCCAAACCGGCCAGGGCTGAACTGTTGACTTTTTAGTGCATGGGTCGACACTCAACCACTGGACCACACTGGACGGGCAGTACTTCATATCTTTTTATGGCTGAATGATAGGGTCGACACTCAACCACTGGACCACACTGGACGGGCAGTACTTCATATCTTTTTATGGCTGAATGATAATTCCATTATATGGATATATCACATTTTTCTTATCCATTTAACTGTTGATGGACATTTTTGAATTTTGAGTTGTTTTTGCTTTTTGGCTAGTATGAATAATGCTGCTATGAACACCAGTATACAAGTTTTTGTGTGGACATACTTTTTTAATTTTATTGAGTTTATATAGTTATCTCTTGGTATATATGGAGGATTGGTTCTAGAGCCCCTATGCATACCAAAAGTCCATTATGTAAAATGATAGTATTTGCATGTAAACGAATTATATTATGATTCATAATACCTAATACAATGTAAATACTATGTAAATAGCTGTTTTACTTTATTGTTTAGGGAATAAGGACAAGAAAAAAAGTGTATACATGTTCAGTACAGATGCAACTATTGTAGACTTAACTACATAGTACATGACAGCAATGATGGAACTTTTCCCCCTGAATATATATTGAACCATGTTGGTTTAATCTATGGATGCTGAACCTGGGATATATAGGGTAGAAATTCTTGGGCCATATTGTAACTAGGTTTAACATTTGAGGAACTGTCAAACATTTTTTCAAAGTAGCTACACTGTTTTACAGTTTCTCCTCTGATGTATGAGGCTTCCAATTTCTCCACATCCTCATTAACACTTGTATTTATCCTTTTATTTTAGCCTTTCAAGCAGGTGTGAAGTAGTATCTCACTGTGGTTTTGATTAGGTAGTCACCTAATGACTAATGATGTTGACCAGTTTCTCATGTGCTTATTGGACATTTGTATATCTTCTTTGGAGAAATATCTGTTCAAATCATTTACTAATTTTTTTTTTATCCTCACCTGATGACATTTTTGCATTTATCTTCAGATAGAGTGGGAGGGAGAAAGGGAGGAAGAGAGAGAGAGAAACATTGACACGAGAAAGACACATCGACTGGTTGTCACCCACACAACCCCAACCAGGGCTGGGGACAAACTGCATCCAAGGTACATCCCTAGTGGGAACTGAACCTGGGACTCTCTGGTCCGCAGACTGATGTTCTAACTGCTGAGCCAAACTGGCCAGGGCTCATTCGCTAATTTTTAAATTAGATTAATACAGTCAGCCCTCATTGTGGTCAATCAGTTCCAGACTTTACCGCGATAAATGAATTTCCGCGAAGTAGGATTCTTTCTTTATACAGTCGTCCCTTGACACTTCACGCTTCGACTTTCACAATAGAGTGAAGCTGCGAAAGTCAAAGCATGAAGTGGCAAGGGACAAACGTAGTCTTCTCATTGAATTATAAGAATTCTTTATAAATTTTAGATACAAATCACTCATCAGATTTTATGATTTATAAATTTCTTCTTCCATTCCATAGCTTGTTTTTTCACTTTATTAAAGTGTCCTTTGAAGCAAAAATTTTAATTTTGATGAAGTACAGTTTTCTATTTTTCTTTTTTATTGCTTGTGCTGTGCTTTTGGTGTCATATTTAGGAACTGTTACCTAATCCAAGGTTACAAAGATTTACTCCGATATTTGTTTTTCAGAGTTTTATAGTTCTAGCTTTTGCATTTAGATCTATGATCCATTTTGAGTTAATATTTGCATATGGTGTGAGGTAGGGATCTAACTCCATTTTTTTTTTTTTTTTGTCCTCATCCGAGGACATTTTTCTATATTTTGTTCAGATAAAGTGGGAGGGAGAGAGAGAGAGAGAAACATCGACGTGAAAGGGACACATGGAGTGGTCGCCACTCACATGACCCAACCAGGGCCGGGAACAAACTGCAGCTGAGGTATGTGCCCTTAGCAGGAACCAAACACGGGTCTCTCCAGACTGCAGGTCGACGCTCTAACCGCTGAGCCAAACTGGCCAGGGCTAACTCCATTCTTTTATATGTGGATATTAGTTGTCCCAGCACCGTTTGTTTAAAAGACTATTTTTTTCCTAATTGAATTGTCTTAATACTCTTGTAGAAATCCAGTTAACTGTAAATGTGAGGGTTAGCTCTGGACTCTCAATATATTTCATTTATTCATGTTTATCCTTATGCCAGTACCATATTGTTTTTATTACTAGAGCTTTGTAGAAAGTTTTAAATAGGGAAATGTGATTTTTTTCCCAACTTTGTTCTTATCTTTCAAAATTGTTTTGATTATTCTGAGTCCCTTGTATTTGCATATGGATTTTAGTATCAGCTTGTCAATTTCTGCAAAAAAAAAAAAAAAAAAAGGGCAGCTGGGTCCTGGCCGGTTTGGCTCAGGGGTTGGAGCATCAGCCTGCGGATCAGAGAGTCCTGAGTTTGGTTCCCGTTAGGGGCACATACCAAAAAAAAGAAAGGCAGCTGGGATATTGATAGAGATTGTGTCGAATTTGTAGATCAGTTTGGGGAGTATTATCATCTTTGCAATATCAGGTCTTCTGATTCATGAACATGGATGTCTTTCCATTTATTTAGAGATTTAATTTCTTTCAACAGTGTTTTATAGTTTTCAGAGTATAATTCTTGTACTTCTTAAAAAAAATTTTTTTTTAATCCTCACCCAAGGGTACTTTTCTATTTATCTTCAGATAGAGTGGGAGGGAGAGAGAGGGAGAGAAAGGGAGAGAGAGAGGAACATTGACATAAGAGGGACACATCAACTGCTTTCCTCCCACATGACTCCTACCAGGGCCAGGGATGAACCGCAACCAAGGTATGTGCCCTTGGCCCGAATCGAATCTGCAACTCATTGGTCCACAGGCTGACGCTCTTATTGCTGAGCCAAAATGGCCAGGGCTCTTGTACTTCTTTTGTTAGTATTTTCCCACATATTTTATTCTTTCTGATGCTACTGCAAATGGAATTGTTTTTTTAATTTTGTTTTTCATATTGATCATTGCTAATGTATAGAAACAATCGACTGTTTGTATACTGATCATCTTTCCTGCTCTATAAAAAGTTTAACTTCACTGAGGAGCAGAAGTGACATTGGAAGTATTTCCATTAGGTCCATGAAAGGTTTCTGTTGTATGCAATCTGGTCAAGTAGATCAATGACAAAGCTACCAATGATCAGCTATCTACCATGTTATTTCTTGTGTTTAAAATCTCCCCATAGCTTCCCATTGCTCTTAAAACAAAAAACAGACCAGAATCCTTAGCATGACTTCTAAGGTCCTGGATACTGGGTCCTTCTCTACTCTATAGCCTCATCCCTTATTATTCTTTTCCTGGCCCTGTGTCTGCCAGCCACATTGACATTCTCTACTTCCTCTAAATTACCATGCCTTAGGTGTTTTTATTTATAATGTTCCTCTAGCTTGGTCAGAACCTTCCCTGACAACTACTACTAGAAAAAGCAGTTTTCTTCCTACTAGACAACACTGTAATTTTTTCAATGTTTATAAATGTCTATCCCACTGAATAGATCATGTCTGTTGTTCACACCTGTGTCACCAGCACCTGGAACAGCACCTGGCACATTACTGAAACTCAGTGAAGGGAATGAGCCAGGTACTTTACATACATAATCTCACTTGTCCTTATGATATACTTTACAAATGAGGAAACTAAGTTTGAGGAGGTGAACTGGCCCAAGGTCACACAATTAGTAAGTAGCAGGACATATTCCAGTAAGATCCGTATGATCGTTTGGGAGTTTAACTGCTCTAAGAGAGAGGTGCTCATCTTTTGTTTTGTTTTGTTTTTCAGTGGAGACTTTTCAGAAACTGCAGAAGGCAAAGGAGATTCTGACTAATGAAGAGAGCCGAGCCCGCTATGACCACTGGCGAAGGAGCCAGATGTCAATGCCATTCCAGCAATGGGAAGCTTTGAATGACTCCGTGAAAACAGTAGGTTTTTCTCTGGGTTGAAGTGAATTTATGAAGCTCAGGCTGCCCATGGATTAGACTTACATAGTAGCTTAAAGAATCAATAAGGGAGTAGGAGGGAGAAGGCCAAGAAGGTGGTAGAATCTGGCTAGAACTCTGTCAGTGTCCACAAAATCCTGTGAGGGGAAATTCAGTGGATCAGTGCCAGAACCAATGACTGTCTTGTGAGTCTCTTTGGCTGTTTGATTCATTATATACACTCCCCATTATCATTTACTGATTTATACATTCTGATAACTGTGCTTCTCAAGATGCTCATATAATACTGCTGAATTTTGAACATTTGCAAATTGATCTCCTTCATCTTTTTAGTTCACATCAGCCTGTTCTTTTCTTAATCCATAAAAATATAGGGTCTGATTAATCAAAGAAAGCTATAAATTATTTGTAAATTATTTTTGTTATAAATTCTGATGAAAGAATTATTGGGTAGATGTAGAGGGACTTTAAACCATTGTATTATTTCTTCATGCCATTAAAAAATCTAAATATCAAAATAATCACTATATTTTCTGTGTTATATGTTTATTTTGTTTTTACATTGACTTTTATATATTATAGAGAAAATGTAATTTTAAAGGTTTCTACATTATTAGGCATGACTTATTAGCCAGCTTTTTTTCTACAGGGACACTTTTCTATGACATGAAACACAGAATACAGAAGTTACCTTATAGGCAAATCTTCAGGGACACTTGTTAGAATTAGTCTACAAAGTGATTCATATCTTTTATTTATTTAAAAAAAATTTTTTTAAATTAATTTTTACAGAGAGAGGAAGGGAGAGGGAGAGAGAGAGAGAGAAACATCAATGAGAGAAAACATCGATTGGCTGCCTCCTGCATGTATCCCACTGGGGATTTGACCCACAATCTGTGCATGTGCCCCGACCAGGAATCAAACCAGTGACCTCTTGTCAACCATTGAGCCACACCAGCAGGGCTTATTAATTTCTTCATTAAAGTTGATTTTAGAGAGAGGGAGATACACACACACACACACACACACACACACAGGAACACCGATGTGAGAGAGAAACATGAATTGGCTGCCTCCTGCATGTGCCCTGATGGGGGATTGAACCTGAAGCCTGGGTATGTGCCTTTTGGTGTACAGGGTGATGCTCCAACCAACTGAGCCACATCAGCCAGGGCTGATTTACATCTTAAAAAAACTTTTTTTCTTTATTGATATGAAAGAGAGAGAGAGAGAGAGAGAGAGAGAGAGAGAAACATCAATGAGAGAGAACATCATTTGACTGTCTCCTGCATGACCCCCACTGGGTATCAAGGCCCACAATCTGGGCATGTGCCCTGACTGGGAATCAAACTGGCAACCTCTTGGTGCATGCCATGCTCAACCACTGAGCCACACCGGCCAGGCTAAATTTCCTTCTTTTTTTTTTTTTTATCCTCACCCGAGGATATTTTTCCATTTTTTTGTACAGATAGAGTGGGAGGGAGAGAGAGGAAGGAGAGAGAGAGAAACATCGACGTGAAGGGACACATCGAGTGACTGCCACCCGCATGACCAACCAGGGCCGGGGACAAACTGCAACCGAAGTACGTGCCCTTAGCGGGAACCGAACCTGGGTCTCTCCGGACCGCAGGCCGACGCTCTAACCGCTGAGCCAAACTGGCCAGGGCTAAATTTCCTTCTTAATAGTTTTATTTTAAGAGGACTTGAGCAAATGGTTTTTCCATTGATAAAAGATCTGTAATAGTAAGAGAGGGTCTCTGAAGTAATTGGGAAGAACAATGCAAAACTCTCAAACTATATAGTTAAAGCTACTCTACATAAAATGTAAATAACTTTCTTCATCTCATTTTGGAATGAGGGTGTATTCATATGATTTCTTTAAATGGGTTAATTATTTATGAAGGATCATTGAATACACAGGGTGGGGCAAAACTTGGTTTACAGTTGTTTATATGGAAAATAATACAATAATTAGTAAATAATAATACAAGATTGTTTTGCATACCCACAACTGTAAACCTACTTTTGCCACACCCCATTATGGCCAAAATAATGAGAGAGAATATTTTTGTATTGATTTTTTTTTTTTTTTTTTTCGGAGAGAGAGAAGAAGGGAGAGAGAACTAGAAACACTGATGTGAGAGAGAAACATCGATTGGCTGCCTCTTGCATGCCCCCTACTGGGGATCGAGCCTGCAACCCAGGCATGTGCCCTGACTGGGAATCAAACCAGTATCTCTCAGTCTATGGAAGGACGCTCAATCCACTGAGTCACACTGGCCAGGCTAGAGAGCATATTTTTAAAATAGTGACTTCACATACTCAAAAGTAAGATTTTTTTCTTTTTACATTGTGTAAACCCATAATTCATTGTTGGTACTGACTAAATAAACATTGTCCTAACACTCCTGCATAACCATGTTTCCATTCTGACACACTGTAAATGCAACTAAACTAGTGACCCTTGCTATTCTAATGCCTTTTTATGTATAGTTCATTTTTCTTGATGATCCACTGAACTCTGTTACTTAATTTTAACCACTAATATCAAGTTAGCTATGGATTAAAAGAAAAAAAATCTTCTCTAGATCCCTGCTCTAGGTTATATTGCCAATGTCTTTAAAGACTGATTTCTTGCCTCCAAACACATCATTTCTGCTTTATATTTATCTTAGGGGCTATATCATTCGTCTTGTCAGCAAAATTAAAATAGTGTGCCAGGCTAGCATTTGGTTTTGGATTTATGCTTATTATGGTACAAAAATGATGAGATGCATATCTTTCTGCTTTAAAGTAGCAGTGCTATTTTTTCTTGCACAGTCTTCTTTATTTGGGCCAAACTTTTTTGCTTTGGACTTGCTTTTATTTCTCTTCCTCAGTAGACTTTGGATCCCACATGCCAAGTTTCATGTGTTTTGTTTTATACCTCATTTGTTCAACTTTCTGTAAATTTCCTTTCATCCCTTTCTGTTCTTATCCTCAAAGTGACTTCTGCATGTGAAAGCCTCACCTCTCTCTGTAACAGTTTAATTGTTGCTTTCTGTATTTGTGCATTTTATTTGTTCATCTTTTCACATTTACTGCTCCATATATTAAAAATAACAATTGTCATACCTAGTATTGTTCATCACTTAATAGATTGTGGTCTTTCCTTTTGTAGGTAAACATCACCGTTAGGGTGTTTGGGTTAGGTATATATATGGCATATGCCATTCTGACAATAAAGTGGTTTATAGCGTAGGGTTTGGGTATTAGGTGACATTTATTTAAAACACATCTGCATTTCGCTTGCACTACACATTTATAGAGTATTAAATCTCATAAAATCCTTATCTTTCCATCATCAACCCTGTGTTTCTGCTTTTTATTTAAGCAGTATAATCTCTCTTGAAGGAAAAGCATTGGTAGGGAGCAACATTAGTCCCAGTACCTTCAAGGCAGGACAAATTACAATGCATGTTTGCAGCATCACATACAGGTTTGTATCGCAGGAATCTCCTTTGGGATAATTCCTCAAATGACACATTTCTAATCCAAGAATGATGAAACTGTAACTGATATATTTTCCCCCATGCCAAGTGCCTACCCCTTCACTAGCTATTTTTCTTTTCCTTTTTAGAAGGTCCACCTGATAGTTTAATTTGTAAAAATACATATATTTTTAATTTTGTTTTTCTTTATTTTATTTTTATTATTATTATTTTTTTATCCTCACCCAAGGACATTTTTCCATTTTTCACTCAGATAGAGCGGGAAGGAGAGAGAGGAAGAGAGAGAAACATCGATGTGAAAGGGACACATCGAGTGGCCGCCACCCACACGACCCAACCAGGGCCGGGGACAAACTGCAGCCAAGGTACATGCCCTTAGCGGGAACCGAACCCGGGTCTCTGTGGACCGCAGGCTGACGCTCTAACCGCTGAGCCAAACCAGCCAGGGCAATTTTGTTTTTCTTTTATTGATTTTTAGAGAGAGAGGAAGGAAGAGGGAGAGAGAGATAGAAACATCGATGAGAGAGAACATCGATTGGCTGCCTCCTGCATGTCCCCCACTGGGGATCAGCCCACAGCCTGGGCATGTGCCCTGACCGGGAATCGAACTGTTGACCTCTTGGTGCATGGATCAACGCTCAGCCACTGAACCATACTGGCCAGGCTGTAAAAATATTTTAAGAATTCATTGAGGTCAGTGAATATGTTGGAAATTTAAATTTAGATATGTGGTATTGGTTTAAAAAAGGGGATATGGGACTTCCATAACCAGGGCCTTTGGGATCTTGGGATAACTTGAAAACACATGCCTTTCTAACTCAAAGAATCTTAGGGAAATTCATCATGGTCATGCTAAATGGTTTTCCCCAAGGGATTCAGGGTATGAATGGCTCTCCCTCTGTTCCAAAATATATGGCAGAATGCCATATATTTAGGATGGCCGTGGGAAAGTGATTGCAGTAAAGTCACACCCAAAATAAAGTGCTGAGCCTGGCTGGTGTGGCTCAGTGGATTGAGCGTCCTCCTATGGACTGAGATGTCCTGGTTTGATTCCTGATTAGGACACATGCCCTGTTTGTGGGCTCCATCCCCAGTAGGGGGCGTGCAGGAGGTGGCCGATCAATGATTCTATCTCACATTGATGTTTCTATCTCTCTCTAAAAAAAGAAAAATTTCATAAAAACATATTTTTAAAAAAGTGCTGAGAAAAACTCTCATATGCTGTTAAAACTGTCTCATGCCATATAAATTGCTATATATTTTATAAAGAGTTAATAGATACACATTATTGATGAATTAGTTGTTTGACAAATTGATTATTTCTGGGAGGGTTTGTTGGGACTACCAGTTGCCCTCACGTGGACCTATTTGTCTACTGTTTCTGGCTGGACAAAGTGTCCTTGGGATGAATCCAGTTGGCTATAGACTATCAGGGAAACTTCCTATTATGTCTCTATAGCCACAGTTTCCCTGGCCACATGGAGACTGTGC